TCTGCTGTCTTAATACAAAGGAAAAGCTACATTTTGAAACTATGCCAGGTAAATGGGAATGTGATTTACTTACTTTTCTCTGCAATGGCAGCTTGTCTGTGGTTGAAAGAAACAAACATATAAATAAAGAAGAATTCAGTGTTAATTCAAAGTAGTTAACCCTGCCTGCATTTCACTGCCTCAGAAACATCTTGCTGCTCAACGGAACAGTGGAAAGTGCTGTTTGGAGTGTACTTGCTGGAATAAAAGGTCCTCTCTAACTTTCAGATCAGGGAGCAGCACACAATGTTCCAGAGAAGTTAGCGCACTTAAGTGGCATTTGCTAGGAAAAGGACTTACTTTAACCTCTGGAATTCAGCATAGGCTTCGTCATATGCTTTAAAAGAAAAAAGACAAGTTAGAGTTTTCTCACACAGAATTGACAACACACAGGGGCTGATTATAATTCACAGCCCGAGTTAATTGTGTTCTGTCCAGACAAGACTAAGCCTACTTAACGTACTCAACAAGAGGAACAAATGCTTTCTGGGTAGAAAATACAAAATGGCAGATTTTACAAGCTTTTAATTCATCGAGAGACCTTCAAAACTTCACACAGAAAGGCAGAGATTAGCTTCACCATAGATAAAATGGAAATAAAAGTCTGTTTCAAGTAACAGTTGCTGTCTAATAAGCATCCTGGTCAGCAAACAAGCTTTTCTCTTAAGTTATCCCAGGCGTCACAGCCCCCCAGCTAGATGGGTAAATGTCTCTAGCTACGCTGTCTGGCCTGCGTATTTGGGTAAAAGGGCACAATGAGTTACTGTAACCACAAGGTGTGCCTGAGCCTGCCGGAAGCACTGCTTCTTCTGCCTGATGGAGATGAGATAAGACAAGTGAGTTAAGGAAATGAGAGCTATATGGTTCTAAAAAAAACTGCTTTTCCTTAGCCTGCGGAGTAAGCCACTTTGAGAACTTCAGGCAAGACGGCAGCTTCATTTTAACGCCCTCACCCATCTTTAAGCTCCTCTGTGGTGTAGACTCCTAACATTTTAAGTCTAGAAAACACATAGGTAATATGAGTCCATCCCCCTCGTTTGATGAGATGAGAAACATAAAGTCAGAATTAAAGTCTCTGGTTCTTATTGTTTCTCATCTGTAAAGAAGTGGATGGACTAGCTGGTGTAAAGCCGGCTGAGAACTGAGTACAGTTCTTCTCCCACCCGCTACCCTGAGACAGATGTGCACAGCTGGGGCTACCCGCCTTTGATGGCAGCAGAGACAGGGCGAAGGCAGCCTACAGCCTTTTACTTAAGGATGATTTGAGGGTTAAGGAAGCTTTGATGGGCCAGAGGGTTAAAAAAAAAATTTACCCACCCACTTATTGTTTCCCTTTTTCTATTGTTTCAAATGGTCAAATGGACTGCAGAAGAAACCCCGGACACTGTACGTACGTGATTGGCCTAGACAGCCACGTCCCTCTGGAGCAGACAGACGACCTCGTTAACTGCAGAGGACCTTCAGTGAGTCTTTCCAGTCATGATGGGGTGGGGGTGAGGGCAAGGGGACTCAGCACAAAACAACTGAAACAGGGCTGAAAGGCTGTTCTCTAAGTTAGGGCTATATTCTCTGAGGCCTAAAAAAAATGCTAAGCACTATTGCATATTTAGGTTCAATTTTGATATATGAAGATGTGGAGGGAAAAGTTCATCACCTCCTTTAGTAACTTAGTATGACTATTTTATTTCTTTAGCAAAGAATAAGATGTGGGGGGAGAGAAGTGGCACTGTGTTGTTAACACTGAGAGTTGTGTGTCCCCTTTTGTCTTTATTCTCCTGTGGAAACCTCTTGTACACACCTCTCATTACTCTCTTCTCCTTTTCTCAATTCTCTCCAGAACTCCACCCCCCCCAGCAGATGACCAAGAAGTCTGAGGCCTTCAGGATCAGATTTCTCCAACTTCCTTCAGTTCCCCTTAGTATTGCCTTTGCTTTTTCACATACACTTCCATCTACTTTCTGAAGAAAAGTTATCCCTGTTCCTTTCCAAAGTCAACACTTATCCCTCTGAACTTGATTTCAAAACTTCCACTCTTCAGAACTTTGATGCCCCAATTATTTCCCTTCACTCCCACTTGCAGTCCTTCCAACTCAACAGATGTCTTGGACTCTATGAAGATGCTCAAATTTCATTCATCATAGAAATGCTCTTTTTCAGTGTTTGTACACTAGAAAAAATACTCTTTCTCTAGTGATTGTAAATCCATCTAGCCTTGTTTGTAATCACCTTTGTGGAAGAGTGGCACATCCTTACTGTTCCCACTTTACTTTCCACTCATTCTGCACCCACTGAGTTCTGGCTTCTAGCAGCACTGCTAACTTAAAACTGCTTCATCAGAATCAACAGTGATCTTTCAATCGTCAAATATAATGACCTCTTTTCACCTTTCATTCTTTTTCAAACTTACTTTATAGTAAGTTCTAATGCGCAGAATATCACTTACCTTGTCCAGAAAGATCCACTGTTTTCTGGTGTCCAGTTTTGCCATCAAAGAGCTCCATTACATATTTCCCTTTGTCATTGGGAGTGGGTTCATTGATTTGTAACCAGATCTGCTCCCCAGTGACCCCACTCTTAACTCTATCTGTGTACTTAACAGCAGTTCCACTGTTAAAATCAAAGAAAACATCATTAGTGTTTGCTCTCATCTAAAGCTGATCTTTACTTTGTCTCCTCTTGAAGGTCTTGACATAAAGTTTTGCAGGTTTTTAAATAACATGGGGTCCACATATGTTATTTCAATGCTTCAGAGAAATTTCTGGCCCTGAAGCACAGAATTTAGATTCCAAGGCTCAGGGGGTAGGGGAGGGGGTGCTGATAGTCTGATATTAAATATAACATTTAATTCCCAATAGCGGTCTGGAGCCCAGAGCAGAGAGCAAACCAACACTTCCCAGTGGTATTATCTTTGTTTTTGCTTGGGTTTATTTATAGCACTGAGGGAGTCTTTAAAACCAAAAGGCCAAACTACATATGATCGATGGTTACATATCAGCTGGTCCAAAACACACTTAAGGAGGCCCATCTGTGCCTGACACCTATTTACATGCTTGGTTACAGGCTATTTACGACATATGTAAATATGCACGAGGCAGCAGAGCCAAGAGTAAGTAAAAAGAAGAGTTGCTGCCACGATGAATGAGACATGTCCTCTGTCCCTGAACACGAGTTTCTCAGTATTTTATAGTGGGTCATAAGCAGACCCATACATTATATTCTCTACAGGAGAATAAACAGAAGTATAACCCTATTTGCCCTGGTGGCACAGTGGTTAAGCACTATGGCTGCTAACCAAAAGGTCAGCGGTTTGAATCCACCAGCCGCTCCCTGGAAACCCTATGGGGCAGTTCTACTCTGTCCTATAGGGTCGCTATGAGTTGGAACAGACTCAATGGCAGTGGGTTTGGTTTCTTGGTTTATAACCCCGTTATTTTGTGATCTCACAGCCCAGAAATACTGCTAGATGAAATGCGAAAAAAGTAATTGGATATACTCTGAGTGATGTATAGTTTCATAAAAGAAACTTTATGAAGAGATTGTAAAAATGTGAAGAAATAAGAAAAAAAGCACTATACAAAAGTACACTATTATAGTCACAGTTATGCATAGAGAAAAGTCTGGAAGGAAGTACTCCAAAATGTTCATAGTATGGCTTATAAAACTATGTTGATGTTTTTGTTGTTGTTAGGTGCCATTGAGTTGGTTCCGACTCATTGCGACCCCATGTGCCATCCTCAAAGTCACTGCTATGTTTGAGCCTATTGTTGCAGGCACTGTCAGTCCATCTCACTGAGGGTCTTCCTCTCTTCCTCTCTTTTGCTGACCCTCCACCTTACCAAGTATGATGTCCTTCTCCAGGGACTTGTCCCTCCTAATAACATGTCCAAAGTACACGAGACGAAGTCTTGCCATTCTCACTTCCAAGAAGCACTCTGGCTGTACTTCTTCCAAGACAGATTTGTTCATTCTTCTGGCAGTCTATGGTATATTCAATATTCTTAACCAACACCATAATTCAAATGCATCAATTCTTCTTCGGTCTTCCTTATTCATGTCTAGCTTTCACATGCATATGAGGTGACTGAAAACATCATGGCTTGAGTTGGGCACACCTTAGTCCTCAAGGTGACATCTTTGCTTTTCAACACTTTAAGGAGGTCTTTTGCAGCAGATTTGCTCAGTGCAATACGTCGTTTGATTTCTTGACTGCTGCTTCCATGGGTGTTGACTGTGGATCCAAATAAGATGAAATCCTTGACAACTTCAATCTTTTCTCCGTTTATCATGATGTGGCTTATTGGTCCAGTTGTGAGGATTTCTGTTTTCTTTATGTTGAAGTGTAATCCATACTGAAGGCTGTAGTCTTTGATCTTCATCAGTAACTGCTTCAAGTCCTCTTTGCTTTCAGCAAGCAAGATTGTGTCATCTGCACATCACAGGTTGTTAATGTCAATCCTGATGCCGTGTTCTTCTTCATATAGTCTGGCTTCTCAGATTATTTGCTCAGCATACAGATTGAATAAGTATGGTGAAAGGATACAACCCTGACACACCCCTTTCCTGATTTTAAACACTCACTATCCCCTTGTTCTGTTCAAAGGACTGCCTCTTGGTCTATGTACAGGTTCCGTATGAATACACTTTAGTGTTCTGGAATTCCCATTCTTTGCAATGTTATCCATAGTTTGTTACGATCCACGCAGTCAAATGCATTTGCATAGTCAACAACACAGGTAAACATCTTTCTGGTATTCTCTGCTTTCAGCCAAGATCCATCTGACTCTACTTTGAGGAAGCAGTTCTTCCCCAGTTGTATTTTGAGTACCTTCCAACCTGAGGAGCTTATTTTCAGGTACTATGTCAGACAATGTTCTGCTGCTATTCGCGTAAGGTTTTCGGTGGCCAATTTTTTCAGTAGACTGCCATGTCCTTCTTCCTAGTCTATCTTAGTCTGGAAGCTCTGCTGAAACTTGTCCACCATCGGTAACCCTGCTGGTACTTGAAATATCGGTGGCATAGTTTCCAGCATCACAGCAACACACAAGCAACCACCATAAGACAAACTAACAGGGATAATATTATATTATAAATTCCTTCTATTTTGCAATATAAGATTATAAACATATTTTCTAAAACAAACATGTCTTATGTTTGTAGTTGCAATAAGCAAAATGAACATTAAAAAAATAGGAAAATAAAATTCTCCACCAAAAAAACCTTTTAGCTTTCAAATATGTCTTTAGCATTTTTCTTGTAACATCACATTCTTTAAAAGATATTAAAAATTAAAATGTTATAAAATGTAGGGTAAAGGAACTCATCTGTACCCTGCAGACTTTAGCCTGAGCAACATATATGTCTTAGAGTGTTAGACAGAAGGACAGATAGTCCTCTGCTTTGCTGTAATTGTTGTTGTTAGCAACTCTATGGACAACAGAATGAAATGTTGCCCGGTCCTGCGCCATCCTCACAATTGTTGTTATGCTGGAGCCCATTGTTGCAGCCACTGTGTCAATCCATCTCGTTGAGGGTCTTCCCCTTTTTTGCTTTGCTATAACAAATCTGTTTAAATTCTTAACACTCTGGCTAATACGCAAAATAGTATCATACATTTGTAGAGTACTTCATGGTTTACCATTTTGATTATCTCACTGAATCTATTAATCTTTTGGGATACAGTAGGTATTACCACTCCTATTATATATGAGAGAAAAGTGAAGTTCAGAAAATTAAGTGACTTGCCTAAGATCACATGGGAATTTAGGAGCAAAGTCAAGACTAAAACCCATTTCAAGATTTCTCCCATTATACCACATACGTACTTGAAGACAATCCTTTAGTTCCTGAATCTTCCAGAGACAAAAAATACAAAAATAATGCGTTTAGCTAACTAGACCAAATAACTTAAGACATTTATGCCTTGCTACTGTAATATCCATTTCCTCAAAGCATATTTTCAATGTTCTAATTTTTTGAACAAGTAATTTTTTTAGAGATGATATAAAGCTTTTTGACTGATGAGTCAACTAATTTATCTCTCTTATTTTTCAGGCTGATATATTAGAATGTCCTAGATGTCACAGAGGAATTTCCTAGAATTTGATCGATTTTAACTTATAATTACTTTCCTAAAATGTCCTCTGAAGGAAATAGAACAAAGGAAAGAAACCCCAAGCATTCTACCCTGGAATTTTACTTCTTCTCATTTTTCAGAACTTAAGAAATGAATAATAATAAATCACACTGTTGTACATAACAAAAAAGTAGTTTTAAAGAAAATACACATTATTGCTTTGTGGGACCCAATTCTAGTACAACCTAGACTTTTAGTACAACTTGAACACAGGGGCTAGGGCCCTGTGAGTCTGGGCTCTGGAGCTGGGCTGGCTGGGTTCAGCCCTGGGTCCCCCACCTAGCTGTGTGACCTTGGGCAAGTCACCTCCCCGAGCATGAGCTTATCACTAAAGTGAGGTCGTACCTATGTCACAGAGTTGTTGTGAATATTAAATAATTTCATACATCTAAGGGTTTACAGCAGTGCCTGGCATACTGTAAGTGCCACTAAATGCTAGATGTAATAAACATTATCTGCTTCCTCCTGGGGATACCAGAATGCCCCTACTTCTCAGCGGGGCTTTGAAGAACAGTTTGCAGTTTAGAATGAGTGTCCACTGTATCCTAAGATTGGACTGATGTGGCTGTGCCCCCATCACATTATCTATGCCAGGCTTCTGTTATCTTTCAGCTCAGAAAATTGCAAGAAAGCACGGAGGTTAAGGACATTGTTAAGAGTTGAAATGAAAGGGCTGGCTTGACTTGGAGACCTATTTAGGCTCTTGGAATCTCTGGGGTAAACTAGAATAGAATTCCTCCATAACTCCACAAAGATAGTTTTGGGATTAGAGCAGATCTTCAGGTACAATCCTGTCCAAATGCATATCCCCAAAGACATCTTGGAGTCTCCAAAGTCTTCTGAGGGTGAATAGGAAACATGGTAATGCCCAACAGAGCCACTTGCTGTAAAAATAACTTGGACACTCCTCTAGATTAATTCATATAAAGGGAAATTTGGTGCCTCTTGGTGCACACTGCTTCAGTCTTGTTCCAGACCACACCATGTTTGGTGAAACCCAGGTGAAATCTTGCACTACAGATTAGTAAGTAAGCACAAGTAAGCCCATGCGTACCTTGCTTATTGCATAATTCGGCCCTGGCTGTATGTAGCAAGAGAGGGATAGAGATCTGGCTCTGGATGCCTGGCAAAGCAGAGATGACCCAAGCACGACCCTGTCTGGAGGTGGAGGTTAGAGTACAAAGATGGCTGTGAATTACAACACTTCTCAGGTTACCAAGAAAGATGTACTGTAGCCATCCCTGGCCTCACAATGTGTGCGTTAAGGGAAAGTGCTACCGTCATGCTAAGCGGACAGACAGGGTGCTTCGGTCTCGTGCTCTTCAGCGTCAGGCCCTGAGAAGCCAAGGGTGTCAGAGGCTTCCTATCTGAGGAAAACAGAAAGGTTGTTTTTTTCGTCCACTTTCTTTTTCCCCAGTGGAGAAGGAATTTCTACACCACAAGTACGTTCCCACTTACGTACTTCTGGGACCAGCTGACTTTCAAATCATCCAGGTAGTAAGGAACGAAGGAATACAGCCGGATCCCCTCGGCGGTGCTCTGGATCTTCAGGTCCGTAGCAGACAAAGCTGAAAGAGGACACAGCACATCCACGCATTAGTAAGTCTATTCCGGCGAGAGAATAATGGAGCATCGTTGTGGGGAGAACACTGACTTACCGATTGTTTTGCATACTTCAGTCATCAGCTCTTTAAAGGCTGTGGGTAGAGATTCATAGACAAAGGTTTAGCATAAAAATTTTCAGTGTAAGTTCAAATCTCAAATTGTTAGTCAGTATCATGCTCTCAAAAATTCCCTGTCTGGTGAAGGGTATTGATTACAAGGAGAATTTGTTGACTAATTAATAAGTGCTATTTGAAGGAATAACTTAATTTTTTATCAAATTTTAAAAGACTCCTGCTTATTTTGTTGTTTTTTTCCCTCTGATTCTTTGTAACTGTCACTGTATTTACATTCTAGGGTAAGAGCCACAACACAATTTCCAGGAAAGTCCTTGCCTTTAGGATTCTTTCTTCCTAAATCCCAGGAAGGCTGGGTTTACACAGAGGAAGGTTGCTTATCTGTGTCATCAATCCATAATGAATTAGCCATCAAGTTTCTTGCTCTCCCTCAGTCTAATAATGCCTTGCCAATAAGCACATTTGGTCATTCCTCCACCAAGGAGCCCTGGTGGTGCAGTGGTTAAAGTGATTGACTGCTAACTGAAAGGACAGTGGTTCGAGACCACCAGCACCTCCATGGAAGAAAGATGTGGCAGTCTGCTTCCGTAGAGATTTACAGCCTTGGAAACCCAACAGGGTTGCTATGAGTTGGAATCAACGCCATGATAGTGGGGTTGGCTTTCCACCAAAAACAGGAAAACGAAATCAAACCAAATTCCTGCTCTTTGTTAGCTATACTGTTAAAAGATTTCATACAGGAACAAAACTGGAAGTTTGAGGGCCACATGTAAGTTTTCATTTCCATGATATGTTTGTCTTTAGTAGTCTCTGAAAAATGAAAATTGCTTTCTTGCTCTGCTAGTAACTGTGAGGCTTTGAATTTCATATCTAAATTTTTCTTACCACCTTTTAACTGTGAACTATTTTGCTACATGCTTCTCACAGATGTTTTTAATCCTGGAACACTTTTATCTAGTTGAAACAAAAATGATGGTTTAAATTGAAAACAGACCCTTATTGGACTGTGGCCTATACATTCCCTGAGGATCAAGAGTATACTTTTGATTTCTAGGAAGACTAAAAAAAGTGAAGTATTTTTGAATAAAGCAGTAGTTTGCTCTGCTGGAATTTCAATTAACACAAAATCTTTGGGCCAAAAATCAGCATGATATCGATCATCAGCCCAGACTCAGTCCTAACTCTCCTAACCTGCATATAGAACACACAAAGCGGACCTCAGCAGTTGGTGGACTGACCTTCATCCACAAGCTTCAGTCTGCTCTTGTCTTTCCCTCGGTCATCTTTCAGGATCACCTCATAAATCCCAGCATCTTTCTTTGAAAACTGAAGGGGGAATAAAGATACCACACTGCAATTGATCGTGGACTCAGGGTATGGTGTTTGCATGCTTACGGCCCTGTGATTTATGGAGCTGCCAACCAAACACATGTTGAATGAGCATCTATCCATGCGGGTGATGCTGGCACCCGGTCAAGGTGGACCGGCTAGCATTGCTGGTTTTTCTACCTTCTGAGGCTATCATTGATCCAAGGATCAAAGTCCTTAACTTTTACTCTGCCTTCATTTATTAAAAACAAAGGATCACATACATTTGAACGCTGTGCCCCTTTAGACAGAAAGTGGATAAAATTCTGTACTTAAATTAATACTATGTCTGATGGTCTCTGTGTCTTTAGGGAACAAGTTATCACGAGGTTTAAGTACAGACAAAGAAGGATACACTTAACTGCCCCACCCCTCATCCATGCATAAGACAGCCAATAGGGGTTGGATATCACAAGGCCAGAAAAGTTCTTATGTTTCTACAGCTTTTTTTGGTGGCGGGGGAGGATGACGTCAGGGGCAAGGATCTTGAAAACAGAGAGAAGCAAGGTATTATAGTAAATCCCCTAGCAAGAAGGGAACACAGAATCTAGTCTATGGTTTTGGGAGAACATAGGGTACAGAAAGAATATACAACATTTCACATTTATATCACCTACCTCTGTTATAAGTAGGGTGCATATACCATCCTTAAAATCATGTTTTTCATCCACTGATATCTCTCTCTCATCTTTGTACCACACAATATTAGTTTCCTTCTTAATATTTGCCACCTAGAAGAAAAATCATAATCACTCTTCTTGAAATAAGGAAATGTTATTGTCATAGAAGTGAATGGTTCCCAGTGCAGCAAGCCAGAAGAAGGAGCAGTGAACTTGAAGATAGAGATTTCTAAAGCAATCAGCTGAAAGCTATTTTAACTGAGAAAAGAGCTTAGAATAAAGTAGATATGAATAAACAAACTTAAATCAATAGCATCTCTATTTCCAGGAGTAAAAACTGACTTTAAAAAATCATCTGGTAGACAAGAAAAGTAAGAACAGATAAATACCTACGTAATAACATATACACTCAGATAAAACTAAAAATCTGAAAACAAAAGGAAGACAAACTCCATCAGATCAAAATATAGTCTGTGTCATAAAAACAAATGGCTTATCAAAAGAACAGAATAAGTAAGCCCCCAATCTATATCTAAAAAAAAATTAATAAAAGACAAAGAAGGCATTACAAATGAATGTGAAGAGGAAATATGGTTTAATAAATTCATTCTTAGAAATTCCGAGGAAACTCATTCAGATCATATTGTAGCATAAATTTTGAATGGACTAAAAGACCTCATATGGTTGAGGGGTCTTGAGCTTTATCTGAAATGTTTGAATTTTCTACAAAGAATAGATTCATGTATTTGTTGCATAATTAAAATAATATAAAAAAAAAGGCCTCATATAAAAAAAAAATCCCAAACACCCCAATGAATAATTGGGCAAATCTGTATACAATTCTAAGAGTTGGAATCGACTTGATGGCAATGGGAGTTTGTTTTTTTTTTTAAAAGAAAAAGAAGAAATACAACTATAAAACAAAGGGAGGAGGAATGTTTAATCTCATTATAAACAAGGATATGCAAGTTTTAAAATGTTAACATTTTTCAGCTAATAAGTTAACATAAGAAGAACCAACACTGGTTAATTGTGCAGTGAAGCCGTACACGCAAACATTCTTTATAACCCTGCAGATGGGTTCCTGAATTGCACAAAGTAACTGTGTTACTAGGCAGCATTGCTCATGATGAAAATGACCTCAACTGGAAAGCTGCGTCTGGGCTGGGAAGGACTAGACGTGGACCCCACAGCTTGGGGTCTCCCTGAGTGCACTGACTCTTGTGATTTGGGTGTGTCCCTTGCTGGGACTCTGAAAGCTCTGCCTAGTGAGAATTGCTGGAGATTTTTTAAGCCATGGAGATTCCTGTACCTGCCCAATGGGGATCTTGTGTCCTTGCACAGGAGTTGCCATCTGTGGGGCAGGTGAGGAGAACAGCCCCCCGACACGGACTCCGGCACTGACTGCTGCAAGGACACCTGGTGGGAGGAATCTTCGACACTGCCTTCGGGTGAGCTAGGGTTCCTGTCCTGTACCACCTTGAAATTAGTGCCAAGTAGGGCTGGAGCAGTCTTGTGAGTCTGAATGTTTGGCGGCACACGCTCAACTATAATGCGATATGTGAATTGTTATAATAATAAAGAGCTCTGAGGGGACAGAGGAAGGTTAATTCTACTTGAACTGAGAAGGGGAAGGCTTTACAGAGGAGATAATATTGAGTTGGGCCTTGAGAAAGGGTTTTGTCAAAGAAGCTGAAAGAAGGACATTCCAGGTATTGGCACAGCATAAATAAATAATGTTGGAATACTCCTAACCTATTTGTAGGCTCCCCTTGGTTGTTCAGAATCTGGGCAAGGGGCCGATCTCCTGAGGACAGCCATCAGAGCAGGACACCAGAGGGCACTCCCCAGAGGGCTACTACAACAGGGGGAGGGTAGACATGTGGGAAAGGGAAGGTTTACGGGGGTGGGGGACAGTGGAGGAGAAAGTGAACAGGGAGCCGCGTGGCAGTGAGCAACAGAATGACAGGGAGAGGGTGTTTTCTTTTTTTTTTTTTTTTTTGTACTTTAGATAAGGTTTACAGAACAAATAGTTTCTCACTAAACAGTTAGTACACTTATTGTTTTATGACAATGGTTAACAAC